GTGTGTGTGTGTGTGTGTGTGTGTGTGTGTGTGTGTGTGTGTGTGTACAGATTGTTCAGGGCTCTTTGTGATCTCGGTGACATATCTCTTGCACTGTGCTTACTCCCTGGCCCAGGTGTGCAGAGCAGCTGGTTCACAATGACCTCCCAACCACCAGCATCATCATGTGCTTTGTGGATGAGGTGTGGTCCGCGCTCCTGAGGTCTGTCCACAGCGTCCTCAACCGTTCGCCTCCTCACCTCATCAAGGAGGTGCTGCTGGTGGACGACTTCAGCACCAAAGGTAAGGAAGCATCCTTGGACTCCTCCCGAAAAGCTAAAGCTTGACAGAAGGCAATAGTAGTTTGGTTTAGAGGGTAATTTAATGTAAGTATTCACAAAGGCCAAGTTATTGTTTCTCGTGCGGGCCATAAAAATGTAAATCTATGCACTGATCATATATTGCTAATTGAAGCTAAGCTAGAGAGACAGCTTAGCAGTTAAGAGCACTGGTTGTTTTTCTAGAGGACCCAGGTTCAATTTCCAGCACTGACATGGCTGCTCAAAACTGTCTGTAACTGCAGTTCCAGGGGGATGGAACCTGCTCTTCTGGCCTCAACAGGCACTGAGTGCATGCATTACAGATGCACATACAGACAAAATACACACCAGAAATACATGTTTCAGAATATCAGTGGTCATCCTGGGGTCTGCTGTGCTGCATGCCTCAGCCATTCCCACTGTGACCAGCCTGCCTCGTAGGAGCAATCGTAATGCTGCCAAACTCCTGAGATGGTCATTTGGATGCAGAAGAGGATGAAGAAGTCATATTTTCTAGTGGACTATAGTGAGCAAAATCTACCCTGTTAATAAAAATGTTTTTTCTAGTCAGTAGCCAAAGTTAAACTCTACAGAGAGCAAAGACGCGGAAGTCTCTTGGCTGCTTCTGAAGTTAAGTGAAGAAGATCCTGTGTGCAGCCAGTTAAGCGTGGAGAAGAAACATAGACAAAGAATCAGAAAGAAAGCAGCTCCCATGCAGTCTAGAAGCAGAGCCCTTCACAGTTTTTAAGACCCCCAGTGTTTTCATTTGTTACATCGAAGACTTCTGCTCTTCGCAATACCACAGCATCTCTGCACGCAAGACATGTAACAGACCCTGTGATGCCACGATGTGAATTCCCAAAATTCCACCCACTTTTTAAAACAGCAAATGGATGGTGATGTTAACGAGACAGCCGAAACTTGATCTGTAAGCACGGTGATGTGAATACTTTCTTTGCTCTCACCACAATCACAGTGAGCGCAAACAGCAATAAGATGCCAGAAGAGAACGGAAAATGCTAACAGGTAATCTTGACAGCATACACAGACATAGTAGCCAGCTTCCAAGTCAGAAAATCCCTTTGATATGGGGCAGATCTAGGGTTTTGTGGACCCTATATCTTGTACCGTTTCAGTGTCTTCTTTAAGAAACACACACACACAACATTAGTAGGAAATAAGTTGTAAATATATTCTGGGAAAAATCGGATGTGTGACACATCCGTAATCTTAGTATCTGGGGCCAGAGGTAGGAGAATCAAGAGTTCAAGCTCAGCCTGGGTTATATAGTAAAATCAAGTAAAAAAACAAAACAAACAAAAAAAAAAACTAGAACCATTCCTACCTGGGATAGCTACAGAAGTGATTGTAAATATATCCTTGAACTTTCCTAAAATGTTTCTTAGCTGGACACCACTATAGCCGACAGAAAGGCAAAGACACTCTAAGCTGATAGCATGGAGCTGAAGCCCCAAGCCCTGTGATCAGGTCTGTGAACCAGGACTGGACCTTGTTTGGCCAGAACTGCCCTTGTGTGTGTGACAGAGACTGTAAAACTGGAAGTTACCTACACTGCAGTTCAGGCTGATTTCTTCAAGCTGTATACCAACCATCCAGGGCTGCATTCCTCTCTGTGGCGAGAACTACATGCCAGGACACTGCCCCGCAGCACAGTCACGACTAACAAGCAAGTCCTTCATCAAAAGGAAGACCTCAGCAGCCTGTCTCCTACAAATGCAGTACTCTAGTTGTTGCTCTGCCTGCTGACCCTTTCATAAGACCTTAGTAAGTCTTTCATCACAGAGAAGTGTGGGTGGGTAGGGATGGTAGCTCTTAGCAACTACAACTGCGTTGGTATCTTACAAAGTTTGAAATCTGTACACACGACTTAGGTTCTCTGTCTTGATTTTGAGAAATTGGTCAATTTAGATTATTGAACCTGCATAAAATATTTTAAATAAGATGACATCAAATAAAAATCTGGCTCAAGAGATGAAACTTGGTAACTGGAATGACATCACAGTTTTGGATTTGACATTGCAAAGACACTTCTAGTAAATCTAGTTAATTAAAGTATTTTGGGTTTGTTCTTACTCTGCTATAGACTACCTTAAAGCTAATTTGGATAAATACATGTCTCAGTTTCCAAAAGTTCGGATTCTTCGCCTCAAAGAGAGACATGGCTTGATCAGAGCACGGCTGGCAGGGGCACAGAATGCAACAGGTAAGAAACAAGAATTCAAACAAGAATTTGAAAAAAAAATAGAACCAGAAGTGTCCACATGTTCTTATATGGATTTTAATTTCATGCTTTGTCACAGACACATACACAAGGGCATGGATATATTAATTGCTTTCTCTGAGCCTTTGAAAAGGAACTCACAGAAACTATGATACCAGAACACTATACACCTAAGTTTTTGCTGGGCATTACTGAAAAAAAAAAAAAAAAAAAAAAAAAGAACAATCTCTTAGACAGGCATACTTTTGTATTGAAAAACAGCCAATACCTAAATACATTCTTATAAGATTTTCTCATTATTCCCAATATTTTTCAATTCAAGATTTTTTTTTTATTTCATGCACTTTGTTTGGTTATTTTGTCCTTTTAGTCTCCTGGTCTAGTAAACCTTACACATTGCATTGACCTACTGATGTTTCTCTTTAATATTTCAGGCAATATACTTGTACAATTCACCATGTTCTGAATTTTCACTCCTCTTGCTATGATTTGAGTGTGGTCAATATGTACAACTTGAGTGGAGGTCACCGCAGTTGCCTGTTTCTTGTTTCTTCCTACACTGTCAGGCTGCCCCACCATTGGTTTTACTAGGTTAAGATTTTGACAACCACACCTCTCCTCTGGGAGTTGGAAGGAACTTGTCAGTTAATCCTTCACTTTAGAAGATTATCCTGACGTTTACACATTTTACACAATGATGTAGCTTATGCTGCTGTCCCGTGCCTGAATAGTTTTTTAGAATGAGGGCTTACAAAACAGATTTTCTATAATTCTTTTCAGTTGCCATTTATTTGTAGTCAAGATACATCGCCCAGATCCCATCTCTTTCCCTCTTCTTTTTTTTTTCTTTTCTACCCATTTTTTCTCCCGCCCTTTCCCTTTCCCTTTCCCTTTCCCCTGCAACTCTGTTTCTGAGGCTAGTCACTTTCATTCTCTCAAGCTGGTCCCTGGGAATCGGGTATCTGCCCCCAGACACCCGAGTCCAGGGTCTGCATTCTCATCCACCACCACCCTTTGTTCCTGTAGCCACTTCATCACCACTCCACCTCTGGAAACCCTGGCATTCCCAGTCTCCACCAGCTTGGAGAAAATAAATTCACATGATGCTCAACAGAGTCTTATTTTCTTGTAACTAGACACCCAAAAGGTTCTTACCATCCCATTGGTTTGCTAAAAGAGTTTATCCCTTTGTCTGTTAGTCAGGGTTTTCTGGAGGAAAAGAACTGGTAGGCTGGATGGTTAGTAAAGGGAGGTTTCTTAGATCATCTTACACAGCACAGTCTGGGTCGTCTGACCATGACTGATGCACACAGAAGAGCCTGAGAACATAGCCTATGACAGTGAGCATTTCAATGGTCTCAGCCTGTCCCTGAATGTATAGGGAATTCCTGGAAGCTAGTTTGTTGTTGTATTACTGAATTTTCCTGGGGAGATGAAACACAGAATTTACTCACCTCTGATAAGGAGCCCAAGAAGTACAGATCCCACCAAAATCCAATTCAGTGAACCAACAAGCTGTATTAGTGTTGCTTTCATATTAACCATCACACTTTATATAGAAATTTTTTAAGTGAAAAACAAATGGATCGTGACGAAATTGGCAATGTGGTAGTAGCTAAGATTTTTTAATTTGTATTTATTCTCATTTTTTAATTAAAATATTAAGGGTTAAACTCAGGGCCTTGTGCATAATAAGTACCTGTGTTATCAACGAGTTTTGTGCCCAGTGGTAACTTTAAATTTTTACCATGTGTTCATTGGACAAAATAGTGTTTCATTGTAAACTGTTTATGCACATGTATCACTTACATTGATATTACTTGTCCCCCATCATCCTCACCTGACAGACTGTGTTTGAAAAATTAAATGTCTCTCCAAGCTTAATTTCCATAGTCAAATAAATCTATGAATAATGCAAAAAATATGAGTTAAGAAATACTTTAGAAAAGAAACTTAGCAGCTGGCATGTGGCTAAAAAATATTCACATGTGCGAATGTTTGAGTGCAGATATGAGCTTGACACTTTAAAAGCAAAGAGGGAGTTCGTAGGTGCTGATGAGAATGGACCGAAAAGGAGAGTGGTAAGAGGTTCATTTGGAGGAAAAGACAAAAATAAAACTTCTGTGTGCCAAGTAAGGAATATTGGGAAACCATCGAAGGTCAGTGAATAAAGAGCTAAATTGTCTGATTTGCATTTTAAAAGCCCAGGCTGGCCTCCATATAGAAAATGGATCTCAGGGAGGTGTGAGAAAAGGAGAATTCAGTGAGAAGGCTATTACAGTTGTCCCAGACTAGGGAGGGACAAGGGCAGCTGGAAACACAGTCAGATTCATGATTTACGCTGGGCATGAAAGCTACAGGATGCACCATCACATAAGACATGATATACGATCAGGGAATGAGGGGAAGCTAAAACAAATCCTTGAACTGGAATCAGAGCAACTTGATGGCTGATGGGGCCATAACTGGAAGAGTAGGTCTGGGACTGCAGTGAGTTTTATTTTTCTTCTAACAGCCCGTGTTGACTTTAAAATTAGACACCCAAGTGCAGAAACGTAATAAATACAGAATGGAAACCACGCTACTTATCAAGGATATTTCTCCCAAGATGCACAGAGGACAAAGTTTGCTGGCAATGACCTGCCACGCAGCCCAACGGTTAGACGGCAGTGTGGGAGGGAGGCTCTCTTCAGGTGAACTTGGTTACAAGTGGCAGTTGGTTGCAGGTCTTGCCATAAAATACGGTCTGTGGGTTTACCAAATCCAGATGCAGAAGTCTTACATTTGTGTCTAACATTCGATCCCTTTGAGCACCGACCATGTGGTAAATGCCAAAGCCTTTGATAATGGCTTCTGTTAAGGACTAGACTTCACGTCACAGGGCTGCTATATGGGTAAGTGCATATGTAATCACAGAAGAGATTTCATCAAATAGCATATGCAGTGCATTCTGTCTTTCTGTCTATGTTACCGATCAGCCCCAGCAAACTCACTGAGTCTTAATTGCTCACTGCTTTTTGTTAAAAAAATCTGCCCAAGGAACCTAAAGAGGACACTTTCGTCACCTCTTAAGATTTGTAGGACCACCCCATTGTAAATCAGAGTAAACAAGTTTCTTTAAGATAACATTTTTAAAATGATATAGAAAACCACACACCCATTTTAACACTTAAAATAATTGTATATGTACATACATGTGTACAACCAGGCCTCCAACTTACGATATTTGAAAAAAAATGCATCTGTGCTACACATACAGAGACTGGGTTATCTTGTTGCTCTCCCCCCCAATAACTCAGTATCACAACTATTTACATAAAATTTGGTAGCATAAGTCACGTGGAGATGGTTGAAAGTCTTCAGAAAACACTAACTATTATATATAAGTAAACAACGTCAGCACCTGAGAATGCTGAGATAAAGGATCCTGGAACCCATGTCTTGTGGGTATTAAGGGATGACTGTACATAATAAATTCCTAACCTCTTTATCAAATTGCTATAAAGATTCAGAACACATATTTCTACTTTATGATCCCATCTCTTGTGTAATGCAGGGTTTGAGAGCAGTGCTCTGGGCAGTGTGATTGAAAGGCCAATGTCTGAGAGCTTGAAGAAAAGCAGAAAGGTTGGGTCGGTAGCATCCCCACTAAGGATGCCTCCTGGTTCTGGAAATGAGCCTGACACCTGTGCTAAGTTTTGTCAAGAACATACATCAGGGATTGGCCTTGAATGGACCTACTTGGCCTATTGAATGTACCTTTCTCATTATCCTGAGTTCTCCATCTCTGTGAGCAGTCTTGACTTGGCTACTGCAAGAAGTCTAAAGACTCCTTGAAAACCAGAGAAGAGCAAGCACTTAAACAGAAATGGTCTCAGAGATGCTTTAGCCGACAATGAGCTAAAAACTGAGAAACTGAATCCAGTGTCTGTATAGCTATGCCAGCTCCGGCCTCATCTTATTCACCTAATGGGATTCAAAGAAAAAACATGCCGCTGACATGATGAGGCTGGACAGTCAAGGGCACAGCAATAAAATTAAAACTATTTTTTTTCTTGAAGGCTTAATTAGCTGTTTTTGAAATCTGCAAGGATCATCCACCAAATAATCTATAGCTAGCCCGTCCTAGCATTAATAATGCCTATTGTGCCCTCAAAATTCAGGTTGTCTGAGTCCAAAGTACATAAAAAGATTAAGCCAATCGGCTGCTGACTGAAGAGTTTGAAAGGCCCAACCGGGATGTCAACACTGTATGGGCGGGAGAGAGAACAGCAATAGATTACTAAGAATTATTCACCAAAGAAAGTTATGCCTTACAGCAGGGAAGCTTCTCAGTGAGAGTCGAGGGTCAGATTCTCAAATGCTCCACGACAGGTCACTTAGAAAAACCTTGACCTTGCCGTGAGCATTCATACAGACTCAGTTAATTAACGTCAAGGAACTCCCAGGGAGAAACATCTAACTCTTGGCCTACTCCAAAGTCTCCCGGAAAGTGTCAGTGGGCATTATTGTATACATTTCCATAGTCTGTTGCTGCTGCAGATTTAAAGTGGGTTTCCTCAGTGTCCCTTAAAAGCCATTCAGTAAAATGAAACGGTAAGCCATCTCCATGTGCCTCAAGAAACTATAAACTCAACACTAGCACTAACTACTTAATGATGCAAGAGTCCACACACCGGGCAGAGTGCCATCGCCACAAAGAAGCTAAAGGTACTCGGCACACCGAATAACTTGAGGTTGGCCATTTTTATTCTATTATTATTATTTTTTTTATTGCTGCTCTTGTTCATAAAGCTCGTCTCCAGACAATCCAGCATCACCAGTAACACAAGTCTAGAAAACAGAAAAATCATGCCAGGTTACAACCAAGGTTGGGTTAAGTTATTCTAAACTTGAGTTTAAACAATTCATCAAAAATATTAATAATAATATAGGATTACTAGCCGCTTGTTAAAAGACTGATTATTGAAAGGTAGATCTTAGAAATATACCACAGGTTAAAACTCAAAGGACAAAAGTTATTTGTGAATATCTATGGTCGTCTCTCCCATTTCCTCGTGCCTCTCAGCTTCTCTGCATCAGCATGGTAGCACAATTCCACAGATGATCCCACCACAATTAGAAACACTACCAGGAGCCAGCTACCCAGGGAGCTCCTCATTTTCTGAGACTTTATTTTAAAATAAAATATCTGAAAGCAGAGCAGCGGCATCCACACATAGAAGATTCTCCACTCTCCCAAATAAAGCAATATAAAATTCCAAAATACATTTTAGGCAGGTGCTACTTCCCTCAGGGCCTGGCACCAAGTGAATGAGAATATTAACGAGGTACAATGTGGGCCAGGTGGGGAATGAATGCAGATTTGGCGCCCCATCCTGAGCTATGTAACGAACTGTTTCATAATATTACATGGCACCCTAGGTAAATTACCTTGGAAAGCTACTCTAGCTATTTGTTCCTCCAAGTTTTATCTTGTAAGTAGGAATTAAAATAGGTCTGTACTTCAGATTTGTGGGAAGGAACTGATAAGGCTATCAGGTAGAACACAGAACTTCGTGGTAAGAGTTGATAAGACGTGGTGAGACACGCTAACTCTGCAGACAGGTAGACTGGTCAGTGAAAACAGTAATCAGAATGAAGGGAATGAACCTCAACTGCAGAATTATCTCTACCAGAATGGCCTGTGGGCATGTCTTTCCAGCATTTTTTAAATTATTTTTTAATTCATTACAGTTACTCACTTTGTATCCCACCTGTAGCACCCTCCCTCATTCTCGCCTAATCCCACCCTTCCTCCCTCATCTCCTCCCATACCCCTCTCCAAGTCCACTGATAGGGGAGGTCCTCCTCCCCTTCCATATGACCCTGGCCTATCAAGTCTCATCAAGACTGGCTGCATTGTCTTCCATCTGTGGCCTGGTAAGGCTGCTTTCCCCTCAAGGGGAGGGTGATCAAAGAGCCAGCCTCTGTGCTCATGTCAGAGACAGTCCCTGTTCCCATTACTAGGGAACCCACTTGGAGACTGAGCTGCTGTGCGCTGCATCTGTGCAGGTTATCTCCATGCATGGTCCTTGGTTGGAGTATCAGTCTCAGAAAAGACCCCTGCACCCAGATTTTTCGGTTCTGTTGCTCTCCTTGTGGCTCTCCTGTCCCCTCCAGGTCTTTCTATCTCCTCCTTCTTTGATAAGATTCCCTGCACTCTGCCCAAAGTTTGGCTATCAATCTCAGCATTTGCTTTGATATGCTGGTGGATAGAGTCTTTCAGAGTCCCTCTGTGGTAGGCTCCTGTCCTGTTTCCTATTTTCTCCCTCTTCCAATATCCATCCCTTTTGCCTTTCTGAGTGAAGGAGAGCCAGGGCCCTCCTTCTTGCTTAGCTTCTTTAGGTGTACAGATTTTAATATGTTTATCCCATGTTAATTTAAATTAATGAGGAATGTGGGAGGATCCATCCCATTTTGGATGGTGCTACACCTAGCCACCAGTTCAAGTTGCTTAGGAAAGCAAGCTGAGCAGACCTTAGCTTTCACCCATGGCAGGCTGTGGTTACATTTTTTCAAACCAAATCAACCCTTTCTTCCCCAAGGCGATCTAGTCATCATTTTATCAGAGCAACAGAGAAGCAACCTAATTTCAGTAGCTTATCATTTCTTTCTAAATATGAGTGATGTTTACCACAGAACCTCTATACCTGAAATGTCTCCATATCATTAGAAAAAGAAATTCTGGGAGCCAGGAACTCAGTGAGAAAAGAAGACACCTGTGTTCACAGTCATACACTTTTAAGAATGAAGTATACACACTCACTGTATCATACCATACTTTTCAATAATTTATTTTTTTACTCTGCAGGTGATGTGTTAACATTCCTAGACTCTCATGTGGAATGTAATGTGGGCTGGTTGGAGCCCCTTCTGGAAAGAGTTTATTTAAATAGAAAGAAAGTGGCCTGTCCAGTAATTGAAGTCATCAATGACAAGGACATGAGGTAACACTACCACATCCTGACACTGGAGAGCAGCAGAGAGTGCTGGTCCTCAATGAGCTATGTTAGAACCTAAGAAGCAGGACCAATATGACCAAATAGGTGAAAACACGTGACAGATATCTTGGGCTCAGAGCCTACCAATTGAGTAACCTATTTGGCCAATACATCAATTTACCTGCTAATAAATCTAACTATTCATCCCCTTTGACAATCAGTTGAACTCCCAAATAATTTATTTTTCTCAAGTTTTTAGTTATACCATTTATGGAAAGTCTATATGCTTTTATAAGTTATTGTTTCTTCCTCTAAAATGGCCATTATGAACTGAAGGATGAATATAAGTTGAAACAAGTCTTCCCTGAGCTGATGTTAAGGGGTCTGGTGTAGAATCACATGTGTCAGCAACTGTCTCACACCTGAGTTGGTCATGAAGCTGTGCTCAGGAAGTCAGTAGAGCCATGAATAGTCTCAGCTAAGCATTTGCAGTTTCATTGATTTTCTTTTGTCCTGAATTAGTTACATGACAGTGGACAACTTCCAAAGAGGTGTCTTCACCTGGCCCATGAACTTTGGCTGGAGAACAATTCCTCCAGATGTTGTTGCAAAAAATGGGATTAAAGAAACTGACATAATAAGGTAAGTGTGTGAAACTGAACGCATGACTCCTAAGCCCCTTTGTAAAGGCAGAAAATACATTTAAGAAAAGTTACACTCTATCAATCTGAAAACCAGCAAGAATTATTGGTGTGTACGAGACATGATGGTACACATCTATAATCTCAGTACTAAGGAAGCAGGAGGGTGGCAAGTTTAAGAATAGCCTGGGTACAATAGTAAGCCCCACCCCTCTTTATACACACACACACACACACACACACACACACACACAAATACATACATATATAGCTCTATTCAAGACTTTATCAAAGAAAGGAAAGTCTCCTAAGAAGTTGGTTTGCTATCCCCCACCCTTAAATTAAATTTGAAATATACCAAATTTAGCTCTGACACAGAGAAAGCCATAATAACCCTGAAGTTACTCCAACCAAGGACCATGCATGGAGATAACCTAGAACACCTGAACAGATGTAGCCCGTGGAAGCTCAGTGTCCAAGTGGGTTCCCTAGTAGGGGGAACAGGGACTGTCTCTGACATGAACTCAGTGGCTGGCTCTTTGATCACCTCCCCCTGAAGGGGAGAGAAGCCTTACCAGGCCATAGAGGAAGACTGTGCAGCCAGTCCTGATGAGACCTGATAGGCTAGGATCAGATGGAGCGAGGGAAACACTTCCCCTATCAGTGGACTAGGGGAGGGACACGGGAGGAGAAGAGAGAGGGAAGGTGGAATTGGGAGGGGATGAGGGAGGCGGCTACAGCTGGGATACAAAATGAATACATTGTAATTAATAAAAATTAATTAATTAAAATTTTTTTAAAAGGAAGTATGATTCCTAGTCCCACCCATGTCTTCACTGACCCTTATCAGATTCAGCTCCCATGAACCAGGAACTCCTTACTAAAGCCAGGCTGCTGACTCCTTCCTAAAACCTCTCCATACCCATCCAGAAAGGCTTCCAAACTTCCACACTGACACACAGAGTGATTTACTCTGGATGCTTAGTTGCCACAGGTTAAAAGTTTAATCCAATCATTTGTTTCTGTAGGTGCCCAGTCATGGCAGGTGGATTATTTTCCATTGACAAAAGTTACTTTTATGAACTTGGAACTTATGACCCTGGCCTTGATGTTTGGGGTGGAGAAAATATGGAGCTGTCATTCAAGGTACCCATTACTAAGTGTTTCTTCTTAGTTTCTGTTTTATAATTAAAGGCTTATCATTCTAGGGACAGATGAGATTATTCAGTTGCTAAATAGATTAGCACATAAGCATGAGGATCTGAGTTTAGAGCCCATGGAGAAAGCCAAATGCAGGATTGTAATATGCCTATAACTGCAGCTGAATCAGTGAGCTCCACATTTCAGTTTCAGGGAAAGAAACCATCTCAACAATTAAGGTGGAGAGCACCTGAGAGCATCTTATGTTAACCTCTGACCTCCACCTACATATGAAAACAAGCATGACCACGTAGGAGCACAAACACACAAATAAGAATTGATGATTCTCAAGCAGCTTCACTGTACTAATGCAATCACATTTATGACTGCCACTGAGAAGTCTGTAGATTGAGTGTCTCATTTCCCAGACTTAATTTGGAAGAATCAATCACTGTTGTGCAGCTATTGGAATTACTCTTTCACAACGGTGTTACTTTATCTAATCATGGGGGAATTACTTTCTTTTTTCTACATAAAAGCTACAGGATTCACACTTGATACAAATTACTCTGGGATCCATACTTAATACAAATCACCCTGGGATTTTCTGTGACATACAGTGACTCTTTTGGAATAGCTCTCTAATACATTAGAAGCAGTGGGAATATTTGCAGTGGGTAATCTTGAGAATACAAATGACAAAGAATCCCTCGAGTGCTGGGCGCCAGCAAGCCAAGTATGTGGTACAGCATCTTCAGAGCCTACAGGCAATGGCTTAGATCATCATGGACTCATGCCCAGGAGGGCCTTAGCAAGAACAATAAAACCTGACTAGCAGCCTTCCTGTGGGCCTGGGACGTCTACGTTCAAATGGGTGGAACTCTGGAGGTCCTGATCTCCACAAGCATGCAGGTCGAAGAGGAATGGGAACAGATGGATAGCCATCACCTCTCCCTGATTCAACCTAGAGAGGAACACAGTGACATGTTTTACATATTGGGGTTCTGTAAAGAGTTCTATGGAAAAGAGATAAAGAGAATTTCACATAGTGGTTAGGGAGGGAAAATAGTCTACTTCATTGATCATAAAGTGCTCCATCATGCACAAAATTAAATAAACCTGCTGAGTTTTTGTTTGTTTGTTTTTTCTGTGAAAGTTGGATGTAGTACTTAGCAAGGGAGGCATGTCTCCAGGTGGTACCATTGTTAACTGCTTGTGATTTGTGAACCACCATTTGATAGAGGGTGCTTTTCGCTGCTTTATTCCCAGGTCTGGATGTGCGGTGGGGAAATCGAGATCGTTCCCTGTTCCAGGGTGGGCCACATCTTCAGAAACGACAATCCGTACTCCTTCCCCAAAGACCGTATGAAGACGGTGGAACGGAACCTGGTTCGGGTGGCCGAGGTCTGGCTGGATGAGTACAAGGAAGTCTTCTACGGCCATGGGGATCACCTCATAGACCAAGGGTTAGATGTGGGCAACCTCACCCAGCAAAGGGAGCTGCGGGAGAAGCTGAAATGCAAGAGTTTCAAGTGGTACTTGGACAATGTCTTTCCTGACTTGAAGGCTCCCGTTGTGAGAGCTGGTGGTGTGGTAAGTTAACGTGGCCGTTTGTAAAAACAACAGAAACTCCTTCAAACTTGCTGAGGAAAAAAAAAAGGGGGGGTTATTATGCTTTAAGCAACAGGCATGATGCCCCTAAGACAAAGCGTAGGCAAGAGTTGTTAGAGATGGATCTGAGGAAGTCTATCATAAGGTAATGCTGGCTGATAACTAAATATCCTCTACCGACACTGCGCAGAGGAAAGCCCGCAGTACTGCGGGAGGTAGGCTTCTCTTCCCTTGGAATTTGACCTTGAATGGAGAGCCATGATAATAAAAATACAGAGCACGATGGCTCCCGTGAAGGAACAGGACAAGAGTGCTGACTCCTTTTAGATGGATGCTGTCAAGAAATCCCCTGAGGATTGGAAGGGAGGTCTGAGAAACAGTGCCCACTCATCTCTGAGAGTGAGAGGCGGAGGTTCAACTTGATAGTCTGGGACAAAGCCTTGACTCCTCCACAGGGGCCCACTCTTATATTCGTGTTTAGACTCTTTTTATTTTTTACTCTCTTTTCATATTTATTTATAAATATCCCCAGTGTTCTTTTTGTTCTTTGGAGGGGTCAGAAAGTTCTCTAACTTGACTGTCAGCATGTCTGCCTTTTCAGAACGCGGGTCTTTGGCTCTTCTTAAGAAACAGATATATAAACTAGCTCCTCTCCCAGCTTGCCAGATCCACAAGCAACGAAGACTTAGTAAAAACAATGATGTTGTCTTACTAGGAAATCTGAGGAGGGTATTAACAACAGGAAAGCAGTCTGAATATTTGTTCTGGTTTTCTAAAATTTAACCAAAAAATACATGTGACCTGGTTTGTTCATAACAGAGTGTTGTGAAAAGTTCACAAGAGTACATCAGGATTTGGCATAGGTCAAAGCAGCTATCAGCTCCTTTAGATAAATAAATACAAACATCAAACATGACTTACATGTTTAAATTCTACCCTCCAAACAAGGATACCATAGGTTCGATACACTTCCTAGCAGCAGCACTACTAAACTTTAGCCACCAGAGGGTGCAAGCAAACTACTTTTTGAATCCTCTATAACGTTGCCGCTGATCTTTGAAAAAAACTCCTCACATCACATGCCAACACCATAATGTATCAAAATGCTGTGCATTCATTTCAAAGCAGTTCACCAGACTCTCTTCTTCTATTTCCATTCTCTTTGCTGTCTTATGCATGTAAATATTAATGAAGATGTCATTTGCTCTCTTCTAGTAACAGTGCTATTACCATTTTAAAGAACGGAGATTTCAGCCAGACACAGTGGCACTCCTCGGGGAGGCAGAATTAGGCTAATCTCTGTGAATTCAAGTCCGGGTCCAGCCTGGTCTACAAAGAGAGTCCAGGACAGCCAAGTCTACACAGGGAAACCCTGTCTCAAAATATTAATAATAATAATGATGATGATGAGAGAGAGAGAGAGAGAAGGAAGGAGGGAGGGA